ACAACAACAACAACAACAACAACACATGAAAAAGAAAGCTTGTTAATCCAATTCCAAAGGTTCCCAGCCCTCTCCCAAGGCCCCATCTTCACCAAGGCCTCATTGGCGCTTCCCACGAAGCTTTGCCACCGCTCGGACGTCACCACGTCTTGCAAGCAGCTGGGGAATTCCTGGTCGCTGCGAAGGCGGAGGAGCCCGGTCTGTTGAGGGTCTGACGGTGTTTGGAGGCAGCGCTGTCTGTTGACGGTTGAGTACTCCCATCGGAAACAATCCATGCAACTGGCATATATGATATTTAGATTACATACAGGAGTGATTGGAGGGGTCAGTGGAAGGTCTATTTAAACACATCATGATGGTTTTTTGCTGCGCATCCATTTGCCTTCTTCAGTCCAAAGACTCAGCGAGTCAGTCAGCCACGTTGCTTCACCTAGACCGGTCTAGGTCATGTCTAGGTCATGTCATGTGAGACGTTCTCCATCGACGGTCCGATCGGTAAATGGGCGATGGGAAGCGTGCGGGGACCTCGTAGATGAATCTCTTGCTGAAGCAGCCGCCGCCTTCCAGTGGCACCTCCAGCGGGCGGGCTGAAAACGGCTGACAAGAGGCGGGTGAAGAAGGAGATGTCCCAAAGAGATGAAGCGCCTGATTCGATGGTGAACCTGATATAAACATACAACATCCTTTTTGCTTCAGTGCTCATATTGCCCACCTGCTGCTTCAGAACCGCCTCCCCAAATACAGTATAGGTCGCTAGCTACGCAGGTCCTCCCCGTCCTCGTCGCGCTCCGACCCGCGCTGCTCGCGAAGGGCGAAGGGCGAAGGGCCGTCGCGAAGGGCGACGGACACCCCAAGCGACACCGAACCGAGCATGGGGAAACCATTGGACATCAAACAACATGTTAAAGAAAAAACATGGTACTGACTTGGGAGCTGGGTTGGCTTTGTTTGTCTGTGGCCACCAAGAAGCTAATTGCAACATGATTTAAATATGATAAAAGCTGTACAGAACTAACTAACTATACTGTAACTTGTTATCAAAAGCTGTTCCACCTGCAAACAAAGGAGGGACCGGCTCCTTACGCCAGGCAAACGGCCGCAGTGAAGCTGGAAGGACATGGAGGTTCTGGATTCCACTGGTTGCCGTACACCCAGGTTCCAGAATCCACATTGCAACCGGGCGAACGGTATGGACCGGGCGAACGGGAGACTAGAGCGGAACCTCCATGTTCACCTATAGGATCATCCTGGACCTGGTTTTCCTCGCGTTCGACGACCCTACGCGAAGTACTTAACAGGTCTCCAGCCAGGGCACCCGGCCAGGAAGTGCTAGCTAGGTTTGGGATGGTTTGCAGTGGATGTTGCACCTGGACTTAGCGGACCTAAGTCCCTGCAGGGACCCTGAAAAAACGTCGCCTTGACCCCCTGAAATGCACACATGGAAGTGGATGGCATGTCCACTTAGATGACTCTCTTCCCCACATGAGTACCAAACAGGTGCGCATGTCCACTTCGATTCGGATTAAAAGAGATTCCCTTCATCGAGACTGAAGACCACTCAGTCCTGACCTCATGCGCGCCGTCTCCCATATGCGCGCGCGCACGCTTGGTAATCTTCGAAAGGCCAGTTGCGCTTCCCCAGCACGGCGGCATGGGCTTCCCCAGAGGTCCGTCCGGGGCGGAAGTACAAGCCACGCAGGGCGGACGTCGCCATGGAAGCGCTCGAGAGAGAGAGAGAGAGAGCGCTCACATCGCAACCCGGTAGAAAACCCCCACCAAAACGGAGGTAGGGATATGGAGCTTGAAAATGCAGTAAGGCTGAGGTCCTGAAAAAAAATGACGAATACTGGGCTTTGCAATTCAAATCGTCTTGAGACTTCAACCTGCTTATGGTCAGCGGACTTTGCAGTGCTTTCATCAACGGACTTTGCATGATAAGAATTTCCATGATCTTTCTGCACGATGCACTGATGCACTGTGCCTCACCTGAAGCAGCCACGCACTTGGACGGATCAAATCTGGATCCGCGCGCCGTTTCTGGCATTCCACGTTGAACGAAGAGAGCTCCCAGACGTTCATCATGGCAAACTTGGACGAAACCATCGAGTTTGAGCAGTTCTTGTTTTTGTTTACTTCAATGGCAAAGTTCACTAGAAGTCCTCCCTCCATTTTTCCACCATGCTTCCACCCCTTTCGCCTCACTCCCGTGTCGCGCCAACGGACCCTCAGACGCTCGGCGCCGGATCCGGGGTCGACGTGGTCGTCTCGAAGCGACCCGGCTCGGTACGGGACCCGGTTCGGTGGCACCGAAGAGTGTCGAAACACATCACCTAACGTGGGACGGTACGACTGGATCGGCGTTTTCGGGCACACGGCGTTTCCCACGTGTGCGACCACGCCATGTCTGCACCACGCTGAAGAACCGTGGGTAGTCCGGTCACGGTCCACTCCGCCCTCGACTCCGCCACCTTTTCGGATGCCGAGAACCCACGTCCGGCCAGCGAAGGAAGCGCCTGGCAGCGGGTGTGGGGATGCAGGAAGGTTCGTGGCAGGTTCGTACCAGGTCTCTTGGACAGGCTTGAAGACAATGTGTGTGTGTGTCGACAAAGTGCACCTTGCAAACTACCATGACTCATTACCCATTGCAAGCATACTGAAGAAGCAAAAGGCCCCACACACTCAAATCACTCGGCACATTTCTTTCCCAGCAAGGATGTCGCGGTTCCATGTTCCTGCGCACTCGAATGTCCTGGGCAGGTGCATGTGCGACAGGTGAAAGGAGGCTGCGACAGGGGACAGGCCAAGCTTTGCTGAGATCATGCTTGACCTGGTATGGCATGGTATGGCTAGGTGGTTTCAACTCGGTTGCAAACTAGACAGTGGGTTCAATCATCCCAAGTAAAGGTTGAACAAAATCTGAAACCACCACCTGAATCTCATGAATGTAAGTGACTCTGTTCCAGTTCCATAGATGGGTTGAAGATTTGAAGGACTGCAAGAGCCCTCTCTCCAAAACTATGGGTTGTACTGTTGTACTGTAGGTGTTACCTTAACCAAGTCTGGTGGGATTCCAGTTTCTTCCAGTTTGGATGGTCTGGGTTTCAATCACCTATCTACTCATCCATCCGAGTCCATCCATCGCCCTCGATGTGTCCGGAAGTCCAGATGCGTGTCGGTCTCCTCCCAGGAGGTCGATTTAGGTCTCCTTGGCAGCGGCCTCCTGCGATGGAACGTCGTGCGATGACGGGTGCTGACCCAAAAGGAGCTGTGGATTTGGATGAAATTTAGATGTAGTATGACGTGTGTTGTTCGAGTGACCAATCTGATGACAGAGGTTCCTATTTGAGCATCCACGGGGGCTAAAAATAGAGGTCTTATTGGAGAGTAGGGACCATAGAACATTGAAGCTCTTGTGTAACGGGGAATCTGAAGATCGCAGCTTTCCAAGGGCTCTTTCATGACCAGCTCCATCCCGTTCCATCCCCTCAAATACAAAACCCTTTTGTCACTAAGACTAGACCCCAAACACTAAACATAGAGTCACTAGGCCTCAGAAGGAATGACAAAGCATGGACAAAGCGATACCTTCTCGCATGTATGTAAACCATTCTGAAACAGGCTAAACATCCTTACCAAGCACCGCAAACATAACATAGTACATAACATATAGAGGGGTGCTACGCCCCCAAGAAGCAGAAATATCATACTGTAACAAAATAGAACAAATTTCTTGATCGCTGCGTCCTTGGCCTTCTTGATCCGATCGCCCTGGTAGTGCGCCGCTGTGCGTGCCTCAAAACATGCTGCTCGCACGCAAGGAAGGTAAGCAACGCGACGCGCGCAAAGAAACACCGCAGGTTCTGGCGCCGTTTAGCGGGAACTGGAAGAGTGAGAATCTCCTGATTGACTTGTTGAAGATGCTTGACGAGTTGAAGAGAGATACAGTACCAGGACCCACAAGGGGTGGTTAATGGACACCCCAAATCACTTCTAAGGAGCTATCAATCGAAACCCCTTAGGGGTCCTGGTAGCTGATGTTGGTTGAAGATTTCAGGTGCACACTTTGCGGGGAACCAGGTGTGAGCATTTGTGCCTGCACAATAAATGGGCAGGCAAACAGCCTCTGACATGCGTATTGGACACTCCAGTCCCAACCACAGAAAAATGAAAAATGACTTTGGCTGTTCAGGGCTTCCCAACCCTGTTCAATGAGGTTTGCACCTGGGCTTTCCAACCATTCTTCCAAGCCCCTCTCATTCTTAAAGATTCTCTGCCACACTCTGCTCCGGTCCACTTCTTGCAGTGACAAACCTTTAAACGCTTTTTGTTGTTTGTGTTCTCAAGCCTCCGCTGTCCCAAGCGGTGTGTTTAGCGAGCAAAAGCACATGGAAGCCACATTGAAAGCGCAGCACATGTGAAGCTCAAACACAAAGCACAAAAACATGGTTGCAAAAAGTAGCGCAGCCATAGGAGTGCATGGCAACGACTACCAAGCTATGTTATGTGCAAAAGTGGCGGGGGAACCCCCACCGTCGTTTTTCCCACGAACCGCCGTATGGACCATGGACGTTGAAAAAAACAGAAAAAACAACAACAACAACAACAACAACAACAACACGCACACAAAAACATGAGGTCAAAAGCCCAGGCGCCTTCTTGAGAGTTGCGTAGGCCTTGAACTCCTTCTCCTCATGAAACGAGTCGACTCGTTCGACTCGTTCGACTCGAGCTGACGAGGCTCGTGTACAAGGCTCGTGGACAGGTCGGGTGAAAGGGTTCGAGTTCGAGTTCGCCCCAGGTGAGGCATGGAGGGGGGGGAGCATTGCCACGTGTCTGATCGGTTGAAAAAGCGTTCAACAAGCAGGAACATGAACAAAGAGAAACCAATTAGAGCAGCTTTCAAAAGAAGGGACTTCAAAGACTTCTAGCTTTACATTGACCTCTTTGCATCCCAAACCTTTACAAGCCAAAATCAAGTAGCTGCAATCACTTCCAATTTCCACCAAACTCGCTTCCCAAAGCAACCACCGGTACCATCCGCCCAACATCCAAAGGCGGTGCAGTCAGCAAATCGACCCACCGGGCCGTTCAAACGAAGAACCACGAGAGAGACGACGCGCGCGTCACACGCGTGAGCGCCTCGGCGGTGATGGCACGGGCTTTGATGCGCTTCTCGGTCTTAGGCACTGGGATGATCTCCTGAGGCAGAAGCCGCAGCACACGGTGCGCTCGCGTGGTCGAAAACGGACGGAGGAGCTCGCGCGAAGGAAGGAAGGAAGTCCACCCGCGTGGCCTGGCGTGGTGCGGAGGAGTCCACGTGCGGAAGAGGTCGGGAAGAGCGAGTCCGTTGGAGACGCGAGTGGTGAGGTGAGTGGTGAGTGGAGATGGGCAGGGGCAGGGTGGAGTGGTTGGATGGAGACGAGTGCAGTGGAAGGAGTAGTATAAACCCCCAACAAGAACATATACAAGAACATACAAGAACAACTTATTTGTATCAGGCACTCGACATCATAGCTCATCACAGCAAATGATCCAACTTCCCCTCAAAAACAGAGGTCATGTCGGTCTCCAACTGGATTCCAACTGAGATCCATTGAGTCATTCAGCTCGTGTTCCACGCCACCTTTGGCATTTGTAGAGCAACCATTATAGACCGGTCTCCACGGTCTCCCCGCCGCCTTCAGCGTGTTCTGCGCCACGTTTTGCAGCTCCGAGCGTGGAGTGTCGCCCTTCTTCACCTCGGCAGACCGATGAGATCACCAGAACGACCAGTGGAGCGGAGCGGAGGCACGGCCCGGGCACCCCATAGAAACATCGAGTGGTCTTCAATATGCAAAGACCATGATGTCTTTTTTGCGGGAAACAATGGGACAGCCAGTGTGGTTGATGGTTTGAAGGGTCCCCACACTGTTTTTTTTGTATGTCTTTGGGGGTTCAAGCCAGGTGCTGGCTTCTATGTACTGACTACATTCCTATTCTTTTTGCAACAATGTACGACCCAATCGATTATATTATATATATATATATATATCCCAAAGCTTCTATGTTCAAAGAGCTTTGAACTTGCTCGAGGACTCGGGGTTTGCCTCTTTGCGATCCCTTCTTGCTCCATCTTGAAAGTGATTTGCGCGTACTAGAAGCCAGTCAGAGTTGGAAAAAATGGACAATTCTCACACAAGCTGTGTGTTCCACCACCATTCAACAAACTGGAAAAGACAGAGTAACAAACAAACTAACTAACTAACGAACCAACCAACCAACTAACCAACGAACTAACTAACTAACTACAACAACGCACTTAATGCCTTGGATCTTGTTGCTGGCCCATCCGAAAGACGGACGTCCCGTCATGGAGCGAAGGTCCTGGTGGATTCACATCAGAGGTGTGGATTCCTTGCAGCCTGGAGTCCTTCGAGGTCGACGTCCATCCCAGCTGCTAGACCCAAACACGACCTTATATTAGACTGGCACTGACTGGCATATACCGTCCATTCTTCTGGGTGCTTTACAAGCACTCAGGGGTCTGTGCCTGTGCTGAGGCGCCTACGCCTCAAGTCACCAGATCCCAGGACCCAGGTCCTGTCTGGGATCTTCACTGACTGATCTTCACCGTCTTTTAGAGATGGAAAGGACCTGCGACCAGGCCCCATCCTCATCCACTGGGCCCAGGGAATGGGATATACCCAATAGCCATCGATTCCAGTCCCAGTTCCAGGTCGTGTCCGGGAGATACAACCCAACCACCAGTCACCAGCCAACCAGCCAACCAGCCACTACTCTTCCGCGGAAGCCAAATTCCGCCAAGGCACACCCTTGGCACCCGACTTTTTGGGGAAGAGCACCAACTTGGACATGTACAACCTCGCAATCTCGAACGACCGAACGACCGGCGCCGCACTGGACGTCCCTTTGGCAATGGGGGAACGATCCTGGTTTTGCAGTGTACAATCCTTACTACAACACAGGTGGTTCGGGACTCAGCCTATGAACTTCATGGTTGGAAGTTTATAGGTCCAGGACATGACCCCATGACCCAGTCTCCTTGTCCTGAATCATTCAGCTGTCGTCTTTTTGGGATGATCAAGTCCAGTAAAACGAGGTCCGTTTTCTCAACCTTCAAAGGGTCCCAGTTCGACCTTCAAAGGGGTCTCACCAGCTGTTTTTGTCGGGGGAGACACTGCGGAGGACACAACCACTCAACCATCCCAAATAGATCCAAATAGATGAGTCTTCCTCCTCGACCCCCAAAACCACCTCGTGTAAGAACCTTTTTTGACATGATCCATATGCCATATAGGAAATCCATAGGATCCACCACCTCCTGAGAAGCTAGTTTGGTGTGGATCGGTCTCTACCCTCTGAGGTTGTGGGAAAAGAGCCCGCAGGGAAATCCCCATCTCACGCTCCGTCGCCCGATGATCTCCCAAGTGACTTCAGGCGCTCCACGTTGCGCTGCAAGCTCTCGGTGCAGCGGTTCCTGCAAAAAACGCCGCGAGTCTCTGTGAGCCCAGGTGGATGCTGTGAGCCCAGGTGGATGACGTGAGCCCAGGTGGATGGTGGATGGGAGTGGATGGGAGTCGATGGAGCATGCTGCCCTGCGTTGAAGGCTGCCCAGGGACCCGTGGGAGACTTTTCGGGCTAAGAACTTTCGGGCTTTTCAGGTCGGTTGTGAAGGTTGGTTTCCCAGTCAAGTGGGCAAGCAAGATGGATCATGGCATGGCACCTTCCAACTTATTCCAGCCGAGTTGAACGAGATGACATTGCTGGGTTCCAAGGTGGGCACGGGCGGATCGCCAAGAAAGAGTTCCGGCACAAAATCATTGGTTTATAGTGTTCGTGGCTAGTGACGATGCCCAAAAATGTCGAGCTCTGCTTGAAATCTGCTCCTCTCCATTCAAAAAGACTATACCGATACCCCAAAGCCACAAAAACCGCTCATTCCTTTGGCACCCACCATATCCCTCACCACTCTGTCGCCGACGCACTCTTGCGTGCTTGCGCGCGCGCGCGCCCTCGCCAGCAGTGTGTTTGTCTTCAGCGCTTCGTGTGATGCACTTCCCGCCTGCGGCGGTGGTCGATGGCGATGCCGATGGTCTTGGCGAACTTCCGGGGGATCCTCAGAGCGGAGCGAGCGAACAGACGAACAGGTTCCTAGCGTTATCCAAAGGTGATTCCAGGGGTGGACTTGAGAGCGTCCCGCCTAAAATTGCAGTTCAAGAGGCTTGGCTTCCTTCAGCTCATCCAAAGTGAAGCCCTGAGCGGAAAAATGCGCGTTGCCCCAGAAATCTCAGCTAAACCTCCCATCAAACTCTCGAAGTGGATCTAATGATCCTCCCTTAAAACAATCATGGATGAAGTGGATGGCGGAAAAACATTTCTCCTCTACAAACAGTGCATTTGTTCACTTCCGTGGTTGTTGGATGGGGGGGCATATCACTGCTATGTTCCAACATGCTCCAACGACAAACCCGTAGACCGTCTGGCTAAGCCTACAGGGGTCACCAACACCCCCGAATCACCTTCTTTCGGGGCTATTCACAAACACCGACACCTGTTGGGGGCGGCCCAAATGCAGCAATTGGGTCAGCAGTATTCTCAAAGACTCGCCGATTCGCCCTCCACACCAGGCCTAAGCACATCAGAGTGGATGCTAAGCCCCCAAACCAAACAGAACAGCTTGGTCTTTCAGTGGAGTTCCTGGTTACGTCACGCTGCGGTAGCGGGATCCACTGGCGTCTCCCAGTCCGCCCAGTCCCCAGGAAATCGAAGAGAACCGGCACATCGTTGGTGCGTGCAAATCGAACGGCGCGGACGCCATGTTTCGGCGCGCCTTGCCCAAGCGGAGCTTCATGTTGTAGCGCCTTTTGAGACACGTCCGACGTGTGGGACGTCGAAATACATCCAATACACTATAGACTATACTATATACTTCCTAAAACCATCTAGAACCCAGACATGACCTCTGTTTTGATAGGAAAAGACCATCTTTTGAGTGGTTTGTGATCCAAAATAGAGGTCATTCAGGTTCTAGGTTCCTATATAGGTCGATCGCTTTGGTCCTGCAGAAAGCTTCAACTAAACCATCTCCCACGTTTGTGGTCCTGCATCCCGCTGTGTTTGGGTAATTCTTTAAGAGAGTAAATGCTTTAAATTTAACCATGCGCTCTCTAAATGAACTTTTGTTTGACAACCACTGATTTGATAACCATTGATCTCCTTGGTGTTTCAAGCCCACTGTGCTAGGTTTGCTTGACCAGGTTTCTATATACAGTCGCCCCAGCCCGTCACCTCCACTCTTCATCGCCCAGGCGCTGGGTGGGGGGATGCACCAAGGGTCGCAAAAGCCCGGCGGAGGGCCGAGGGAAGACCTTCCTCGGTACCGACGGCTGCGACTTTTCCGGTGCCGCTGCGCTAGCGACCTGCTTCCACCAGCTGCAGCACGAGCACGGCGCGATGTTTTATGAATTCATTTGCATCGAAAAATGCCCCCGCGGTCGCCGGACCTCTCGGACGGTTGACTGGAAGCTGCCTATGGGTCCAGGTGGAGCCTACGCGAGCCTAGGCAGCGGAGAGTACGCCCCGAAAAATACCACACTGCTCAATATACTGATCTTTCCCTTTAAGAAGATCCAAGTCCAGCCCCCAGCAAGTTCGGTTTGGAAATCTCCAGCCGAGCCGGGCTTGGGGACTACAAGTGCATTCGAGACTACACGGAGTCTAACAACAAGTAGCGTCGCTTTAAAACTACACGACCTTGGTCTTGAAAAACATCAACGCCCATATTTTGTTCAGAGGGCCTTCTGAGGTTCCAACACGAGGTGCAAAGAAGAAGAAAACAGTAGTACACCTTAAAACACACACAAACAGAGAAACGCATCAAAGCTCCTTGACTACCCAAGGCTCGCCGCCTTCTCCTTGCGCGCGTTCGCACGGCGCTTCTTGCGGCCGGCCTGACAGCAGTGTGAAGAACGTGCGAACAGAATGAACATTGCTTGGGGCCAGGTCCTGGGTGGATCTGGGTGGGTGGTGACATTGGAGGCTTCAGAACCGCCAGGTCCTGTGGATCCCTTCAAGAGGTTTGAAGGGGGGCGGCCTATGAATGACGGAATCGGAATCTGATCGAGGCCCCCCCCCCAAAGCATGATACTTCACGTTTTGTGTTCTTTTTTCATGCACCAGCAGGTCTAAATTGTCCCTATAAGTGCGTGGATACCAAAAGGGCACTTCAGCACCTCGACGGACTACACTCCCGGCATGTCCATCTACAGATTCCGGTACAGACGGGGCTGGCTCGAAAAGCACACGAGGTCTTGCAGGATCCGGCTTGCAACAACGACAGACTCCGACAGACCGCTAAGTAGGGAAACAATCCCTTGCAAGACACTCCCCCCCGGAAGTGGAGAAGACACCAAATCGAGGCCCCAACCCTATGTAATACACCTGGCATGGCGTGTTCCTGTCACAGTGTTACAGTTACAGTGATGTTCCAGTCTTTTCTTATCATTTTGTTCTACAATCTGACTCCCTGACATGGAAGTGGACCGCGACAATCGCCGAGTGGTTTTTCACCAGCAGTGAGTGGTTCAGCCCGCCTGGTTCAACCAGGTCCGCATGAAGACGCGGTTCTTGCGGCCGGCCTGGCATCCATTCACCTTGCCTCGGTGCTTTGCAAAAGGAATCGCAGCCCGAGGCCCTTCCTAGGTGTGTTGCTCCTTCTGGTTCACTTTTGTGGGCAAAATGCCCAAGGAATTGGGGGAGTCTAGAATAAACACGATTAGAATGATCTGCATGATGGTCCCTTATTTTCCAGCATGAGTCTGACAGGAGGTGGAAGACCCTGCCGTTTTGCTAGCTCCCAAAAAAACCATAAGAGTCCACTCAAGACTCTCAGAAAAGTCATGACTTGTGTTCAACCACCGGTTTAACAATTTGCAGAAACTTCCGGCATGTGAGGCATGTTGTTTCTGCACAAGTGAGGTGTCTTGCGGTGTCTTGCTGCTGGGAACATGTGGCTCCAAGAGACTTGTACAGAATCTGTGACACTCGTTTGACAACTGGGTCTTCGTTTGACCACTGGGTGGCCGTAGCCAATGAAACAACAACGACCTGCCGATGAAGGATGTGCCGAGGGTCATCCGACTTGGCATGTCAAAACAAGACGGATCTAGCTACGCACTTTGCAAATGTGATTCAAACATCTCGGGCTGAAAACCAAGCGAAAAGGATTCTGTCCCTCTGGGCGCTATGCAAGAAAGTCCACGAGTTAGTCATCCAGCAGAAGTGGGGATGGTAGCTACTGGCGGTCGCATTCTTTCAAGTATAGGCAACAGCGATCCCATCAGGATGTTATTTCCACCAAGGCGCTCCCAAAGGCCCAATAGACCACAGTCGCAAACATGACATTTTGCAGGGTATCAGTCCATGACACCACTGGTCGCCCCACAAGGCGGCCTTTTTGGGTAACCCCCAAATGCCCTGCTTCAGACTTCAAAGATTCCTCACATTTGGCCTTCAACCCGTTGTGCTTCGCCGAGGCACGAAAGTGCACATTAGGAATGACGTTGTTCCCTCCATGACCCATGGCGCTCACAGTACGCCGCGTACGCGGTGCTTCTCCGCGCGTACGGTGTTTTCTGGCGGAACTTGCTGGATCCCTGGGGATGTTGGAGCCGAAAGGCCAAGGTCGGCGGCGGCGACTTGTCGGATGCAAGTCCCAGGCATCGTCATTTAGAGAAGTTGCCCAATCTGAATAAATGGATCTTGTTCACAACGGATCCAGGTGAGATTGTAGACTTTTGACATCTTGTACGTCAATCTCCCCAAATGAAAGAGGCTTTACACTCCAGTTGTTGTATTCTCCTCGAGTATCCGCTTGGGCTGCAATCATTTTGTAGTGTCATACTGTATCATACTGTAAAGGGGTATGCTTTTGTCAATTACTCGCAAGAAACCGAAGGCCGTCGCCAAAAGAGAACCTGCAAACGGTGGATATGTTTTTTTGGAACACACCTCGCGCCACCAAGTTCGCGTGCGTTTGACCAAAGGATGGCGAAGATTCGGCCCAAGTTCGTCACCAAGTCAGCCGGGAACCATCTCCCTCAGGGCGCCTGTGGGTCCGAGTGCCTGAGCCAATTCCACCCAGTCATTGCTTGGACCATCCAAAAATCCGATGTTGCGTTCCTCCCTCTTCGATATCATGGGGGTGTCTCCGAATCGAAAGCCATTGTCGAAGGTTCTCATGAGTTCTGGTGGATCTCTCAATGTCTTTATGACTGCCCTTGTCTCGTGCTCCAATCGCAAACCCTAAGAGTTGCAGGACAATCACGGATGGCATACAACTACAAAGGAAGTCCTGTTTCGACAGTAATAAAAACCATTAAAACACTATATATATATATGTGTGTTTCAATATTATATATATATATACATTATTCAAGAACACCGATGCAGACTTTAATCCGGGGGGGACAAATAATCCAACAAAAAACGTGCAGACAATAATCCGGGGGGATTAATAATTGGCAGTCGACATTAGACTTTCTCTTCATCCCGACTCGCAACAACTTCCCAAGCTTCAGAACGGAGACTTCCAGAACAAGTGACAATAATAACATGCATTATCTATATAGGATCTTTCAGGTTCTGTAGCCGCTGTAGTTTGGTAGAATGGTCTTTCTCCAGTTTCTCCTGACCCCCCCGAGGATCCCCGGCCGGGTCGGTCTAGCGACGGCCTCGGCTACGTCGCCAGGTCGGGCACTGGCGGCCCTGGCGGCGTTCGAGAGCGATGGTGGCGTCGAGGACCGTTTGCTTCAGTCTGTCTGGCTTCGTGACTAGGCCATTTCTTCAATGACCTGAAGGCTTTGCTGAGTTGTTGCAGCCGATTTGCTTGAAAATTCTCACCACCTGGTGAATATTGGCAAAACAACTGCAGCATCAAATGACAGCTGGAGCCTTCTTGTGCGATTGGCTGGCTCTCGTGCCCACGGGGTGTGAAACGTGACAGGCCTGCCTGAAGGCACAGCCACCTCTTTCGCCACATAGTGGACCGGGAAGTCCGGCGTTCGCTTTTGACCCATCCCCACATGTGTTCTGCTTCCGCCATATTGGCTCAGCAGAAACGCCGTGATGTGAAGATCGCCAGCGTCGAGGACATGCCCAGCCGTTGAGAAACCTGTTGCAATTGCTCTCCTGACAAGATACTGCTTCTGCTAGAATCGCTTTCCAGCCCATCAGGCCCAGCGAGGCTAGCAATACCAAGCATACTGCAAAGGTCCTCAGGGATGGTGACCGTTGCCAACGAGCTGCACTCTGAAAAGGTTTGATCCCCGATATGGGAAACTGAGTCAGGGATGGTGACATTGGCCAGCTGCACGAAAAGAAGGCTTCTTCCCCAATCTTGGTCACTATTAATGAAAGCCTCATGGCCATGGCTGCATCAAAAATAATCAAAAATATATCCTCAACAAATCGAAGACCGTAGTGGCCTCGAGAATCGTCTTCGCCACTGACCCGAAACCCACCCAACATGGAGCGATTCATGGTGACGAACGGCACGAACTCCTTAAAGAGTGACCCGGATGGCATGGCACATCTTGGCATCCCAAGAAAGATCGGACCTTTCCAGTGAGTGTACGCTCTGGAAGAGACCTGCATGGAACCTTAAAACCGGGTTGTAGAGGAAAATCCTCTTCCAAAGGTCCATTCCAGAAATTCTAAATCACAAACTTTCAGGACTCCCTGGTGGAACATATACTTTCTTTGCCCAGCTCAGGTGCCCAGCCCGGACATCAAATTTGGAATCTAAACCTCTTCCCCGTTGCAGTCGGCTGGATCCCTTTAGACTAGCAAGCAAAAAAAAAACTATAGGGTCTTTCCTCTGTGGCCCTTAATTGCATGTCACGTCGTTGAACAACTTGCATCGAATACTCATGATTGGAATGGGGCCCCAGAAGCGATCGTCTATGCTTGGAACTGACAGTATGGACGTGAACGGAGACAAAACCCGAATAACGAAATCACTAACAATATCTAACAATCGATGTGGAAAGACTCAACTTGCTGTCGAACTCCATTGTTTCTGGAATTTGCATGTGGTAAATGTAATCCGCTTATATGCCAACTTCATGTTCACATGAGCAAACATGTTGCGCACCCTCTGTCTGTTCCAGTCCTTTTATCCAGGTCCCGCACCTGCACGTCCATTGAAGTGACTGAAAAGACCACCTGGCGCCTGTCCGGCCACTGGCCACTGGCCTTCACCCTGGCGACACCATCCCTGGTCCCTGCTTCACCCTGGCGAACTCGAGTCCAAATGCGATTTCTCACCACATGGAATGAAGAATCTGCCCAACATGATACAATGATGATACAATATGATACATGTACATGCATGTCATTTCACCCTGAATATCCCTGAATATGATGTAACTCCAAGCCAAGTCCAACAAGCGGAATGACATGGAATGAAAGCAAATTCACTCTTCCGGGGTCAAAAGATGTGAAAAAGGATTCGCTGCTCTACTGAGCAAAGCCAACTTTAATTTAAAAGAGACACAAAACAGCTGAAAAGTCTTGGATTTGTGCTCTACTACAGGGCGCTGACCCTTATAGGGGATCTATTGAGCCCTTTGCATGAGTCAGATTATGTCAGATTGAGACCTCACTCTTTCTTCTGCCCCAATCCTCCCTTAAACCAGTGCCTTTTCGATGCTGGGCAACAGCACTCATGGAGGCAGTTGCCAGGCAGTGGCAAGAACTCCTGCGATCAACCAGAGGGCTGCGCGAAGTTTCTCTACAAATCCATGAAGTGCCATGCAATGATCTTTGTATCCCAGTTTCATGCATGGGAAGCTGCACTGGTGGCTTACCGGGCACTTGATCAAAGCGGAGTATCTCTATTGCGCATGAATGCATATCGCCCCAAATCAAGTAAAATGGGAAACGACTTGCAAACATCCGAGTACATGCAAGTTGCAAAGCTGTGTACTCTCATTTCACTCGAACATTGACATGTTCTGAAGACCTAAACCACGGAGCAGGACACCCATGGACATCCGAAAATCTCCATCTCTCGTGGTCACCGGAATCCATCTATAGCCCGCCGCTCCACGCAGCCCGACGTGGTTGACGCCTGGCAACGCCTGGCTCCGGGGGACCGTGGCGTCCGTCCGTGGCATCCGCCGGGCCGTGGCGTCCGTCCGTGGCGTTCGCTGGGTGTGGCGCCCACTCGGTGGGACCCGGGACCGAGCGCCCCAGTTTGGGGCTTTCGGATGTTGGGGGCCTCTGACTCGGAGCCCTGAGAGGCTTCTTTTGGAAAAAGAAACATATATGAACATGGCTCCCAAAGGTCTGTAGTAGATAAGGTCCAGCGGCCAGGCCCTTTTTGTTCTCCAAGTATCAACAACGTACAAAGAAAGGGAATCAATGGGGTGCACTAGAGGTACCTAGTTGATGTGCTTGAAACACCTTAAAACATGTTCTATACTATCTGCATCTATCTGCCTCAACCTTGGGCTATGAGGAATCCTTAAGCGTCTTTAAGAGTCTCTGGAGATGATAGTTGCAGATGAAGATCTCTGCCACACATGTGCCCAAAACCATGCTGACATCAGACTTGTCAATAATGCTGTGAGTTAATTGCAAACCCATAGCCCCACTTCCTGGCCCTAAGATAAGTCAACCAAGCATGGTGCATATGCTTAGTCACCCTTCAGCTCGCATCTCAAACGGTACCACAAACCAAAGAGCGGTGCGGAGTATCAATCTACCCAACTGAAACTTACTTACAAGGTGTAACCCACAATGTCCTGAGCTTCTTCTTATAATATTCCACTCTTGCACCGCTGCCTGCAAAAGCAACAACTGGGTCCATCACTCGGCATAAGGTTTGTCTACTATTATGTTTAGAAAGCTTGCGATGAACAATTTCTATTGTTCATTCAGTTCAGAGGCAAAATGCACCAGGGGAGGAGAACAGTGGCCAGTGTTTAATTGTTTGTTGCACATGTAATCCCCAACTTGACCACCAAACCCTTTCACTTCTAGCGGCATTCACACTGAACATTGACCAAATCAAAGGTGATAACATCACATGTCTGAGTAACCGTTGAACCGTCAGTGAAACATCGAAGATTTCATATCCAGAGCGCCATTCAGACACCTGAAAATAGCAAATCTGTGAGAGACGGTGAGACCTCTTAGAATCAGCTATAGGACCAGCGTCTGCAGTGGCAGGTCCCTTTCCTTCGCCGCCTCGTCGATCTTGCAAATGGATCATCAGGATGGCCATTGAGAACCTGCCAGAGGCAACATGGAAGGGACACATAGTTGGGTACTGACTATGCTTCCGCACCACCCGTGAATCTTGTGAGTGGTAACCCATACTTAATCAATACTTAACCCCCGCGTCATACGCTTGGGACCAGCTCAGTAGAACGTCACAAAATTGCCCTGACATCCACTTCGAGGGGTGGCCCAGACGTTTGTCGTGGCAAGGACAGGATCGGCTGTTGTCTAATTCCATGAAAACCGGTTTCAGCTCCTGACGTTTAGTGAAGGCAGACTGTGAAGTTTCGTCTCGATGCAGAATCAGCGAAGGACCAGCTCCCTCAGCGTGCCTGTGGATCCATGCAAGGCAGCAGCGCCTGGAGCAAAGGTTGACGAGATGTATTCAAAACTTGAAACGAGTCAATTTACAAAATTTAATCTATTCAACTTTTGCTAAAGGAAACATCCCCCGGATCAGAATTGAATAGCATCAGATGTCTTCAATCCCAATTGAATAGAAAAAAAAAACATCCCCCAGATCCATCACACGGCCAATCCTAAGACTGGCGCCAGTCATCTACGCGTAGACGGTCATCTGCCCATCCAACATGACGGGACACTCTGGAGCGAAATCAGGACCACTCCAGGTGACCCTCAAAGAAAGCAAGAGGCCTCCAGGCCTCGCAGCTCTACATCGCAGCTTATCCCAATGGTCTCATGATTTTGCAGCATCTTATGCTCCTCCCCTTTGTGATTTGGAGCAGCCACCACTCATTCCCTGTTATTTCCCAACTCCAATGGCCTCATCACTTCCGGCCATGGCCACAAGGAACGCGCCTCCAAGGCGCCTGGAGCTCTTCGCCAAGAGGGGGAGTCCTTCAGCCAGACCGTGAACACTGTGAACCCGCTCCCTGAGCTTCACCGAAAACATGTAGTTATAAACATTGATCAACGTGAATTAGGTGGATCAATGGACGGTGACTACGAAGACAAAATCCCATAAACAATCCTGCAAACAAGCTGTTCAACAATGTTCAACTTACATTGCCATGGACCTAATGGACTCTATCCCTGCACATGAACTTGCGAAGATTCGGCCCAAAGTTAGCCGGGGACCATCTCCCTCGGGGCGCCTGCGGATCCATTCGAGCGCCTGGGCAAATTCCGACCAGTCAAGTGCAAAACGCCTGATGTTACGTCCTCCGTCTTCGATGTAATTTAATAGGTCCAGTGTGTCTCAACATCAGGCAACATAGGCAAACCATCAACTCATAGAGTCCTCATATCAATCTTCATGGATCTCTCAATGGCTTCGTGACTGCCATTGTCTCCTGGCGCTCCAATATCGCAAACCCTAGGACAATCATTTATTATATCAAAGATACGCATAGATACGCTACTAAAGAATATGCTCCGACATCCTGCGCAAAAAGGTTTGGCATGGTTTGGTTCTTCATCCTGGTTCGGGGCAAATTCCCAACCTTCAGAACGGAGACTATCAAATGTTGCAAATCCTTCCGGAATTTTCAGGTTTTAACTCGATTTGTATAGAATGAGTTGTTTCTCCTCTTTGACACTCCTAGCTCTGACAGCTTCATGGAGTTCCCAGGCCTCACTGCGCCAGCATCGCCCTGCTAGATAGGTCACTTCAGGATAGGTCTGAGAACGGATTTGTTCCATGAAGAAACGTGAAGAATCTGAAGGAGTGAGAGAGCGTTGAAGCCTTGCACCACCTTGTGAATGACCTGACAACTGCAGCCATCAAATGACAGCTGGAACCTTTTCTGTGTGCTCAATCCATGTGAAACGTGACGGGCGCCTGCCTTCAGCACAGCCACCTCTTTTGATGTTCAATGCATCTGACAGTTTCTGCCCATTGGCCTTCTCTTCTCGCATGCCTCATTTGGCCGGCTTTCGCTTGGGGCTCCTTCTCCATCTGCATGTTGCTCTTTGAGATCAGCTGGAGGTGGCATTAGGTTGACCGGGGCACTCTTTCGCACTCTGAACTTTTTGACCGAACGCGTTGCTTTCTTGCTGGTCCTTTTCTTCTTCGGTGCCTCTGGCCTCTCCTCTTCCTTGGCCTCTATGGGCCGTTCAGCTTCCAAATCTCCACAAACTCCTTCAATCTGGCTCACATCCCCTGCGTCGTTGGGCGCCTCTGTCTCAGCTGGCTTCCTCCTGCGCACACTGCGCACCTTCTTCCGTCTCTTGGGCTGTTTGGCTTCAGCATCTGCCTCCTGGGTCATGGCATCTTCGATGACAATCACGGCACTGCTGGCAGCTTCGGTGGCATCCGCGCCCTTGAGGCGCCTCAGCTGCTTCAGCTTCTCTTCGCCATCAAAGCCGTTGCACTTTTGGATCTCCAAGTGAGGCCAACAGCCGCCGGGCAGCTTTTGCAGCTCCTTCTCCGTGACACCACAGTCGTAGAAGTTCAAGTGTTCCACCTTCGGGCATCGAGACAACATCTGCAGCACCGCCGGCAGGGCCGAGCGATTCGATCCGACGAAACTGTCGTTGAAACCTGCAGATCTCAGCTCCGGCCAATCGGCGGCGCCCAGCAGCTGGAACGCCTCGGCCGCAATGCCTTTGCACCGACTCAAATCGATCTTCTCCAAGCGCTGGCACCGCGCCAGGAGCTCCATCACGATCCCGGCCCCACCGGAGGCTGGCTTGCCACTCTCAAAGCACATCTCCCACCGGGCTTCCTTCAGTTGAGGCCACTCCGCGGCACGGAGCGCCTCCCAGGCCTCCGCGGCGATCCCTCCGCAGAAACTGAGTTTGATCGACTTGAGGCGAGGGCAGCGCGCCAACAGCTGCAGCAGTGCTGGGGCGCCTTCCAAGCCCTGGCTGTCCATGTGGAAGCTGTCGTCGAAGACGGCCACTTTGAGCTCGGGCCACTGGGCATTTTCCAAAGACTGCCAGGCCGAAGCTGGGAGATGACGGCACCAATCGGCATAGAGCACTTCCATGTCCTTCCCCTGAGCCAGTGGTGGCAGTATCGCAGCATCAAGATCTTGTCCGCCGTAATCCAGCGAACCATCCAGCCGTTTTCCGTCTTCATTTCTCATTGCCACATGTGTGCAGCATCTGGACGGAATCACCTGCGCGGTCTCAGATTCCCTGACAATACATCTGGACAAGCGAGTGAAGCATCTCGACGACATGCCAATTGTAGGCTGTGGCTTCTCGGGATGATCTACTGAGGCCACTTCCTCTTCTGCTTCCTCCGGTAGGAACTCCTCGCTCGGGCCATTGCGGCCAAAATCGCACTTCTCCCACTGCAGCTGAGGCCAGGAGCCGGTCTTGAGCACATCGTCCCAGGCCTCGGTTCGGGGATAAAAGTTGCCCACAAACTTCAACTTCTGCAGCTCGGAGCACTGGGCCAAGCTCCGCAGCACCTCTTCGGCACAACCTTTCCTGTCGTCCCTCCGGAAACACCAAGTGAAATCGGCGACCCGGAGTTTCGGCCACTGGGCGCCCTGGAGCTTTCGCCAGGCCTCGGGCTCAGTGCTGCCACACCAAACGAAGCCCAACTCTTCGAGTTCGGTGCAACAACTCACCATGTGCAGCACTGCGGCGCCGAGTTTCTGCTCTCTGAAGCGGAGCACTCTGAGACGGTGCCAAGCAAGGATCTCCTGTTGCCATTTTGAGGACTCATCGAATTGGCACTCCGAGAAATCTGCATTGACCACGTTGAGATGTGTCAAGTGTTGCCAGTGTTTCTCCAAGTCGGACTCCATATGTGACATGGAAGAGGCGGGTATGCACAGAGGAGTGTGCGCCTTTGTAAGCTTTGAAAGGATCTCCGGGTCCTCAAGTGCCTGGAGGTCCAGGGAAATTTCTTCAGCCGCAGCCAGGGTTGGGACTGTAGCGTTGGGAAGCTGCAGGGCAGCTGCAAGCATAGTGCACGTCAGTGCTTGACCTTTTGCTGCCTTTTCAAGAACTGGATGTTTCTGATTTTCTCCTACATGTGCAAGCACACAAAGGCCGAGAGTGCTGCAGATGCAGCCTGCCAACGATGCCACGATCACGGGCCATGGTACCACTTTGGCCTCTGCCAGCCAAATATCAGTGGACGCAAGTCCTTGCAGGCTAATCGCTACCAGCTGCAGTAGCCAGTGCAGGTAAAGGGAATAACGAAGTGGAATCATGGAGCGCCTCCCCAGCAACACTTGCCCCGGATGGGCAATGACCGCTGCCAACTTGTCCGCCTTTGTAGCTTCCGGAAAGAGGAAGAAAGCCAACGCTACAAGCACGGCGACCGTTACTGGTCCTCCAAAGGCTGCCCAAGTCCTAGTTGCGAGGTGCAGCATGTTCAAGGCCATCAACCTGCTCGCCACTTCCATCGCTCTCACAAGAAAGAGAGCTGCAAATGTGGGACCCCAATCCAGCTTCCCAGGAACCTGTAGCACTTTTGCATCAATCTTATCTCTGGTTGCAAAACCAAAAGCCAGCGAGGCGCAGGACATGATAATTGAGAGGCTGAGCCCTTGGAAGGCTTCGGGCGACACTGATTCCAAACCGACCAGAATCAAACAAAAATAATTGCTTTGTAGTCCGGCCGAAACCACCGCTTCTGCCACTTCAGCTTGTTTTGCGCCTAGCAGCAAGTCATGCTTCGTGCGTATCAAGGCTGATGCAAGGATCAAAAGAAGCATGTGGCTTTGGGACAGCACCGCGAACACAACAACGATGATCCTCATAGTCTTTGATGGGACGATCTTCCGAAATTTGTCGCATTGAGGTGTGGCGACTTTGCTCTCACTCCATGCCATTGCATCAATCACCGTACTGACAACTGGAATGGCCATGCCTGCACAACTCAGAGCAAAATACTCATACTGATGCTCGGCCAGGAAGAGGAACAACTGCTGAAGATCAGTGGCCACATCCAAGTAATATAGGCCACAAGTCAATACACAAAGCTCCAACCAAAACATTGGAGTTTGCCCCGTCGCACATTCAGGGCTGTTCCAACCTTGGTAGACAAGGCCAGTCAGGTGGTCTCGCTCATGTCCTCTGAAGGCTCGCAAGGCACGTACTTCTGCTGCAGGTTTTGCTTTGCTTTGCAGGAGCACCTCATGCCCAGGAAAGGAGTGAACTAAAGGAAACATTTCCCGCGAGAGCGGCTCAGATCGAATTCCTTCCTCATTCTTCACCATGACTCTGACAAAGTAGTAGCTAATGCCTCCTTGCGGTGATTGAACCTCGTTCATTGTGAATCCAACCACCTTCTCATCGCTCTCCAGCCTCAACATGCTTTCTACGATCATCTCTGTCGGAACACCTTCTAAGTCCTGCGCAGTGCAAAGCTTGAGCTTTTGTACTTCCGAATTCTCCACCAGTCGAAGATCCAGCTCCAGCAGCAAGTGCACCTTGGCCTTCTCCCACTCACTCTCAGTCGAGTAGAAACCGTGGCCCCCCTTGGCGCACGTTGGAAGCCACAAAAATGGCTCGGATGTAGCGGCCGGAGAAATCCGGCCGCACTGCCTCTGGCAGCTGCGTGGCAGCATTGGCCCGCTGCATTGCCATGATGCTCCACAGGAGTCAAAACGTGTTGTGTAAGAAACCCCCAAAGGGGAAACAACATGTTTCCGTGTCATTATTCTCAGGCTATCTAGGAGAACATTGTTTGGCCTGCAACTCTATGTCTCAAAAACGAGCCCGAAAGGCATGTCCAAGTTTCATAATTCGAGTGTGTGTTATTTCTTGGCAGGTGGGTGTGTTTGTGTGTGTGCGTGAGCTTTACTCAAATGAGCTTTGCTCGCAATCCGCTGAGCCAAATCATTCAAGCGTAGAGCAAAGTCTTCCAGCAAGCAGCAACTCCTCACACCCCAAGACTTCAAGAATCCAAGTGGGCTGATCCGAAACCTTGCAAAAATATGTTGAAATTCCGTCTCAATGTCAACTGCTCAGAATTACAAAGCAAGAAGTGCTCAGTCAACTGTTTCTGCTGTCTGGTCCTCAGCCCTCAAACTTTGACGAAGCAGCAGCTTGAAGAGCAAACCTCACACCAGTGTCAGCATTTAAGGAAACAAACTTCAATCCGCAGCAACTTGGGAGCAACGGTTTGAAGTGGCTCTGGGAATGGTAGAAGAGTTCCCTCCAGCTGAAGACTTCTCAAAGGCCAAGAACATTTTCAAAGCACAGAACATGAAGATTGGAGGCGCCACAGAGAGTCGCTCTGGGGACTCAACATCTGCCAACGGGAGGTATCGAACAAACTGCCCAATCTCTGAGGTATCGAGCTTCTGACCTCCACGCCGATAAATCGGGGCGCATACCGCATGTGTCGAATGGACCAGTCTTGTTCACATAAGTTGTATGCATGGGAAAGGAATCCAAGTGGAGCATTCCGTTCCAAGTTGCTTTGATAACTTGATCAAGGAATGAAACAAAAGCGAGAAAAAGAGCATGAAGCTTGCCTCAAACACGCATTAACACATCCAAAAATAAACGCGCCAATTCAGATCAGGATGCAGTGGTTCGAAGCAATCCAACAACCCAACGCCGCCCAAAAATGTCACGGAATGTTTGAAGCTTTCCTTGGCCTCTGACTCTTCAAATGACCACGAATCATCTGCTGGAGTAACTCTGGACTTCCCTGCAGGTAGTGAGATGGATAGAAAGCAGGATTGATCAAATCAACGACTCATCAAAACACATTGAACTCTTGAATACTGCCAACTACCGTTGATTGTTTGTTTTCTCAGGGAAGCAACTGTTCTACCATTTTAAGTGGTCTTCTCAAAACACATTGATCTCTTGAATAGCTCCACTACCGCTGATTTCGGGTTGATGTTCCGTTTCCTCAAGGAAGGCATCTACTTTACTGACCGTAACCATTTTGAGCGATCCTGTGGACCCTCTTGAAAAAATGAAGTGACGTACTTAAGGGTTGGGAGGATTTTACCCAACAACGGGCTTGGGTCCCTCAAAAGACCCAAAGAGATCATGAAACCTAGTTCTTCTACTTCTTGCCAGCTCACAGAGTCAGAACATGTTGTGATCGCCCTCCTCAACTGAACAAACACTTCCCCCCTTGCGGCACCACTAGCATGATTTGGAGGTCCTTCACTTGAAGCTCCAGGCCCCCGAAAACAGGTGTGAAGGGCTTAGACTCAGACCTTCTGCCAGCAATTGTGTTCTCTGAGAATTTCGCTCAGAAATCTTTCTGTCCATTTTGGGTCTGAAGATGGATGTCCGAAGGGTCTGATTGGCGAAGAACGAAGAACGGATCGACGTGCGCTTGACTTTCTTTTCAGGAAACCAAGTGGATACATGTAGCCATATTTTGGCCGGAGCCTATCCCTTACTTTCATGAACCCTCGAACAATATATATATATACACAGTAATATACAGTGTATATATATATAATGAACTACATCTCCAACTGCGACAAACTCATGTCTCAGACCCAGACCCAGAAGTCTCACAAAATCTGTAGCATAAAAAAATCAAAAAAAAGTTGGTGCTTCACCGCATGCGTCAAGCTTTCACATGTTTCTCGCCATAGGCATGCCCTCACTTTTGCAGAAAAGCTACGAAAACACGGCAGTGCAGTGCCTTACAGCAATTTACAGTAGATTCACTCTCAGATCTCAGGAGATCTGTGGAATTGTAAGACGTTGTCCATCAAATGTGTTACTTGGCTTGTAGAGAGCATGCGTCACAACCCACTCGGCTTGTCTTCAATGAATCGGCTTCTCCGGCTTCTCCAAGAACAAGTCGGTTCTCGGGTTCAAGTGGGAAGCTGAAAATACCGCGGCTGATCAATGTGGTGTCTCGTGGTGTAAAAGACCAGACTCCTTGGACCTCTTAGGCAGTGTCCATGCAAGACAGCCAACCCCTGTTTCTGATGCGCTCCTAAGACTTCGAGGAACTGTGTGCCACGTCGCGACATCTGCTTGATGCGTGCCCCGTGAGAGGATCTCCACCGTGCGATTCCACCCAGGCCAGGGGCTCGTAAAGAAAGGGCTGGTCGGGCAAAACGAGTATCTGATAGAGCACCCATGGGTGTCCCAGGAGCCAAGCAGCACACAGAATGACAATCATGAGTGGCATGAGGAACTGGATCAAAGCTGCTGCAAACACACTGATGGGCATCACACATTCCCTGGCAAGGTCGAAGGTGACCTGAGATTGGTGGCAGGCCAGAAGATTGCCACCAAATTGCCCCAGCTCGGCAAAGAGCGTTGGGACGATCGCAAGACCCGGCATCAAGGAGATGAAGCAAAGCAGGGTCGTCATCCAAATTTGAACCGCCGGAACATAGACCCTCAACCAAAGAAGGATGCAGGGCGTTGAGCCCGTGGCGCGTGAAGAAATCATGACCAACCTCAAAAGCACAAAACATGCTTCCACAAGGAAAAGCATCAAACCGCCACGTATCCAGTCGCCATGAAACACAGGTCCGACGACACGATGCCAGCGTACCGAAAACATCAAAATGCTTAGGTTGGCTGCCAAAACCCAAACACAGGGTCCGTACTTTTGCCACGCTTGCAGTGATTTCTTCTTTTCAGCCACCTGGTAGAAGTGGTCCACATTTCCTCCCTCCAGCAAGCCCCACACCCACACCCAGAATGCCTCCGCCCCTTCCGGGCCCGTGATCGCCAAGGTCATGGCTGCGAAGAGGGCGAGCATGAGCATTTGTTGGGCATCTTCTGCTGGATGCAAGGTGAGCAAAGCAAAGACCTGGATGGCTGTGGAAAGACCGCATTCAAAGACTTCATCACGTTTGTGCTTTATAAAGGCCAGCGTCGCAAATCCGCGTCTCCAGCTTTTCCGGCCCTCAGCGAGGCCTTCCCATTGCAGAAGATCCCCATCAGCAAACATCGCGCTCTGCCAGAATCCGAAGGCCATTACACCCAAATAGAACGGTTGTCCATTTCTTAGGAATGTCAACATTGACACAAGGTCAGAAAACGGTTCTGCCAGGGTGGTAAAGAGTGAAACCAAGAGCTTGCATCGGGACGCGTCCATGTCTGAAGTGGCCCTATAGAAAAACGAAAATGGGAAGCCCCAATTCCCCTCAGGGAACGCGCGATATCCCTCGGAGTCAGGGGCCACCTGCAGCTCAGTATTGGCTTCCTCCGAGCACAACAGTTCTGAACCCTCTGAGCACAGCATGGAGTCCCAACCTTCTGCCCATGCCACTGGGCCAGCACAGAGTCTATATACAAGGGCACAAACAAAAACACTCCAGCAAGTTGGCAGCCAGTGGCGGCCCAAGGTGGCCGTTTGGGCTTTGAAGCAGGTCTTAAAGGCAGCTGCAGCTTCAGAAGCATCAAGGAGCGCGGGCATCGCAACCATGAGGGGCCATCCTGCGCCTGTAGCCAGGTTTTCTTCGCACCATTCGCGGCAATCTTCAGCAATTGACTGGTTGCCTGCAAGGTCAGTTTTCTGTAGCCACTTGCAGGCGTCAGGAGCTTGCTCCATCGTGATGTTCCTCTTCTCTGCATCAGCAAAGCGTCCTCGAATGTAGCCAAAAGGATTCCGCCAAGAAACCTTTGCTCGGCTATTCGTGAGGCGTCTGTCGAGATACACAGATGCCAGAGGAAAGAAGCAATTCAAGCACAGTGGCCAGAAAATAAGTCCTAGCAAAAGAAAACAACCAAATCCCAGGTGCTTCAGAAGCTTCGCAAGAATCCTGAGCATCCCCCGACAACATTCACCGACATTTGGCTTGTGAGCCTTCTCCATTTCTCCATCATCAAAACGTGACAAAAGCACTGAGGTTGTGGTCTTCCCAATGTCCCCAGCAAAATGTTCTAACAACATTTGTCAATTTCATTTTTTGTCAGAACATCTAGGGAAAATGTTTTGGCGTGTGATTCTATGTGTCAAGGACAAGCATACAGCATGTCAAAGATTCTTGTGAGTTGCTACTACGTAAGTATTGGCAGGAGTGTATGTGTGTGTTTGTGGGCGTAAGCTTGTGCAAAATGAGCTTAAGCTTGTGCAAAATGAGCTTTGCTGAGATCAGCTGTTGTTAATGTGTAGAGCAAAGCCTTCCAGCAAGCAGTAACTCCGTGTGCACAAACATTTCAAAAATCAAACCATAGTGATGGGAATGTTTCAGACATCTGCTGAACCTCTCATTGTCAAACTCCACAGAACCACAAAACCAAAAGTGCTCAACCGGTTCTGAAGTCCGGTGCATCGTCCATCATAATTTCGACACGGCTGTAGTCAGTAGTCCATGAAAAAGGTGAACACCTCACACCTGTGCCCTTGAAGATGTCCAGAGAAAAAGGACTTCAATCCCCAGCAACTTCTTGGGAGCTACGGTTTGAAGTGCATCTGGAAATGCTAGAGAGCCCATACACATTGCTTACAGCTGAGGTCTTTCTGAGGCCAAGTTGAACGTGGACTCAAAGGTTTTGGAGGCGAAGCCACAGCCCACGGGGTTCGCGCTGTGTTCGTGGGAGAGCCCGCGCGAGTTTCGTTCGGTTGGAGAGCCGCTCGCTTTCTGTGGGAGATCTGGAAATCATCTGGCGATCCAGCGGCAGGATCGGCCAAAAAGCAAACTGAACAGGTGAACAGGTGCAGCTGCTGCTGCCGACCTCTGGCACCCGAGTAAACTATCTTTTGATACGTCACAAGAGCTACTTTAGCAGGGCTCAAGCCTGTGGATCTGTCAACAGACTTAGGATCTGTCACCGGAAAGCACTCCAGATTGTGGACATACTTTAAACAACTGATAAGACACACCATCAGCGATCTTCCCCTGGCTGGTGAAACAAACCACCTGACTTGTGATCACCGGTCGGACCAACATCCATGTGACATCCCATGTCCACTCACTTTCGGTTCTGCAGACAGGGGGGGCCTAACCGGGCCTGTCCAATATCCTTACACCCGGGAAGAGAGCCACATGGAACCTGAAAATGTTCTACAACCCCAATGTGTTCAGGTTCCATGTTACGTCATCTTACGTCATCTCCCAGGGCACAGCCCTTTCGGTTCTCTTGGATTTGACACCAAAGGACTTCAATCCTTTTGACATTTTCTGTTCTCTTCCTCGAACACCTAAGGCTCTCGGCCGGCCTAGGCCGGTGCAGGTCGGATTGCCTGGCGTCGAAGGCGTTGGCAGCGAGGAGCATGGGATGACCCAGACATCGAGGAGCAATTGGACTGGAAGATCGGGACACTACATTGACCCCGGTGGCACCACCCCTGGCCTCATCACCAATCCTATGGCAGGTCCAGGTCTGTCCGGAGAAGGTCTTGGGGTGATGGTCTTGGGGTGATCAAGGACTTTCTCTGGGATCCTCAAACTGAAGATTTGTTCAAGGACATCCCAATGAAGATGCTCCTCCAGCCATATGGGTGTGAAGTGAAATGAATCCATAGAGTCCATAGGGGTCCATATGGGTATGAAATCATCTACTTCTAGATCCAATCATCCAATCTTCCTTCGGGATGTTCCATGTATTCTCGCTTGGTGATGTGGGGTGCATGGTTGGACATTCATTGCCACACAGCCGAATGCAATCTGTCTGCAGGGAATGGCTATTTTTGTTGACTCGTCGGTGCGCATGCATGACCCAGTGGAACAACTTCTTTCCTTGGGCTGTTTGATTCATTGGTCAACATCCACCACTCCCAATCCAACCCTCACCTCACAACAATACCCAAAGACCAAATAAAACAAGCAAAGGACAACAAAGGACAACTGACAAACCTATCATACCCTATCATATGATATCTGATTTTCCGAGCAGGTAAAAGCAGATCATGCAATGATGCTTCCCCTACTGTGGCAATCCCCGAAAAATAATGTGTTCATCTCGTCTCATCCCGCAAAACCAAAACCCCTCGAGCAATGGCCTCATCACTTCCACAGCCAATGGTGGGAGAAAAAGAGTGTTTTAATGGAGGGCTTCATATGCATTGGTATATATATATATATAAATATATAGTGGCTGAAAGCTGCAGGTCTTTAAAACAAGTCAGAGCAACAAGTTGGATGTCCAATGTAGATCTGGTTGTCTCTTCAGAGGACGTTTTTTGCTCATCACGAAGAAGTAAGAGTTGTTCAGGAGATTTCGGAGAGTCAACACCTCTTGATGGATACGCCTGACAACCAGCTAAATAAATGTCGGCCTGGGACAAAGAATGTGTTTGTAAAACATACTATTGAACCTATGGCATGAAATTGGTGTTAAAGGTTTTTTGTCTTTAAAAAAATTACACCGGCAAGGGACCCCAAATAGTGTAAAGAGGAACAGATGGAACATGGCATCACGTGGAAGGAAAGAAGGAGCACACAGATGAGAGCACAAATATGAGAGGATACATACAAGAGCGCAAATGTGAGAGTGCAGATTCACGAGCACAAATGAGAGCACACATATGAGAGCATATGGGAGCACATGAGAGCACATGAGCGCACACATCTGAGAGCACAAATGTGTCAGCACATACAAGCACAAATCTGAGAGCACATAAGCGAATACATAGGAGCATTTCAAAGTTCACACAATGCACCGCGCCTGCTACGAAATCTGCACGTGGAGGTTCACAAAGTACTGCGCCTGCCACGAAATCTGCACATTGAGATTCACAAAGTGCTGTGCCTGCTACGAAATCTGCGCATCGAGATTCACAAAGTGCTGCACCTGCCACGAAATCTCCACTTCCAGACTCAGCAAGTGCTGCGCCTGCCACGAAATCTGCACATCTAGATTCACACAGTGCTGCGCCTGCCACGAAATCTGCACATCGAGATTCACAAAGTGCTGCGCCTGCCACGAAATCTGCACATCGAGATTCACAAAGTGCTGCGCCTGCCACGAAATCTGCACATCCAGATTCACAAAGTGCTGCGCCTGCCACGAAATCTGCACATCGGAGATCCAAAATGAGCAAATTGCACGAGGCTTTCGCAAATTTTGAAATGCGTTTCAGAAATGCTGCGCCTGCCACGAAATCATGCCTGCAGGTCATACGAAATGCTGCACTGGCCACGCAAAAGCATCCTCAAGTTCAAATTCCAAAAATGCGACCCCTCTCACGAATTCAGCCGTTTCACCTCAAAATATCGCATCCATGGTGCGGATTCCCTGCGCCTGCCACGTGAAACGCAATCCTGCGAATGACACACGCCTGCCAACGTTTTTGCAACGTCCACAAAACACTGCGCCTGCCACGAAATTTGCAAAGTCTCCGATTCCTTGCACCTGCCACGTAAAATGACCTTTTCGAGGCTCCAATGTGTCGAATTCCTTGCGCCTGCCACGCAAAATGCACTTCATGTCCGAAAACGAGCACGGCACCTGCACGAGAGCTTTGTCCCGGAAGCGCGAAAGGCGCGGCCACCACTTTATGCGAGCCTGCGCAGTCGAAATGGACATGAGGAATTCAAAAAGTAACTTTTGTGCGAGCCGGCCCACGCAAAATGCCGCAGCCACACGCGCGAACCCTGATCTAAACCCGCTTAACTCTTACCGTAAGAACCCCTTAGTGCGGAGCACTATTTGGGGAACAACATCTTGTTCGCAGAATCATCCATGTATAACTTAGAAAAATGCTCATCTGATTCCACTGAAAGGATCTACAGTATCACTCTTTTGGTGGGTCTGCCCAAATCATCTGCTCTTGCCAGGGAACTCTTACTCAAAAGGATGGATTCTCCAAGCAACTCCCTGACTCAAAAAGGAAAAACATCTTCTGACATCAGAACATGCCTAGAAGAGGCTGCTCCTCATATTGGGTGGACATTCTCAGCCTTCAAAAAAAAACAAACTGTCCAAGTTCCCAAGTTCCCACATCTTTCAGGTTTACAGCTAGAAGAACAAGTTCCCACATCCTGCAGGTTAGACCTTCCTTTTGTAGGACCTTCCTTTTATCAGGTCTCGCAGCCTCACGGAGCTGAGAAGGGTGGCCAGCATCGCCCGACTGCGCACGGCGTGACGGTCAGGTTTGGTTGGAGAAAAGCTCCTGAAAGAACAAATCACAAAGAGAGGGAGGTCATGGGAAGTCGGTGGAAAGCTGCAGCATGACATGGGCAGCTGAAAGCTACTTGCAAGCTACTTACATCAGTTTGCGCAAGACCCATCTAGCGCAAGGCCAAGCGAACGAAGCAAGAACATCGGGTTTTGACACTGAAAAAACAACCTGTCGACAAAACGTGCAGCAGACAGTCGTCTCCGGTCCGGACATCAACTGGCAGCTGCAGCCTTTTTGGACGGCTTTCCCTATGAGTAAATGTGAAACGCGATAAGCTGAGACACGTCTTCACTCATGAGGTTGAAGCGGGGTCCTTTTTTCGCACACGAGGCTTCTTGACCGTCCTTTTCTTGTTGGTCCGTTTCTTCTGTGCTTGTGGTGTTCCTTGCTCCTTGGCCTCCTCAACTATGGTCTGTCCAGTTTGAAGATCAAAAGCTCTGGAAACTCCCGCAGTCTCAGTCCCATCAACTGCAGTCTCAGTCCCAGCTGCCTCTCCTTCGACTGGCTTTTTTCGGACTCTTCGAATCCTCTTGCGTCTCATGGGCGCGTTTTTCGCTTCATCATCTGCTTCCCGGGTCGTGGGATCATCGACCAAAATCACGGAACTGCTGGCCACTTCACCGGAACTGCTGGCTCCTCGGAGGCGCCTCAGCTGCTTCTGAAGACGTTCGGAAGCTTCGTCATCCTCATGGACCTCGAAGCCTCTGCACTGGTCAATCTCCAAGCTGGGCCAGCAGCCACTGGGCAACTCCTGCAGCTGCTCTTGGGTATCGCAGTCCTGGAAATGCAGCTGCTTCAGCTTCCAGCACCTGCTTAACATCTGCAGCACTCTTGGCATCGCCTGGCCTTTTGAGCTGATGAAGAAGCAAGCGCTGAAATCAGCTGAGCGCAGCTCTGGCCAAGAGGCTTTGCTCAGCTGTTGGAACTCCTCAGCTGAAATTCCATGGCAACAGCTCAAATCGATCACCTCCAACTGTTGACAACGAAGCAAGAGCTCGATGACACTTCTTACGCCGCCGCAAGCTGGAGCACCTGTCTCAAAACATTCCCTCCAACGGGCTTCCTTCAGCTGTGGCCAGTGTGCTGCACGCAACGCCTTCCAGGCCTCTGCTGCAATCTGACCACAGTAGCTGAGATCGATGAACTCCAAGCGCTGGCAGCGCGCCAACATCTGCAGCACTGCAGGGGCTCCGTGCAAGCCCTGGCTTTCCCGGTCGAAGCTGCGTTTGAACAAAGCCATCTTGAGCTCAGGCCACTCGGCATTTTGCAACTGCCAAGCAGTAGACGGCAAATGATTACAAAAGCTCGCATCCAGCACTTCCAAGTCCAACTTCTCAGCCAGCCGTGGCAGTAGTGACTCATCCACTTGAAGCCCTTCGACATCAGTCTTCATGGAAATATGAAGAAGATCTCTGGGTAGCATGGGTGAAGGTTTTGGCTGATTGTTGACCGAAAGGCAGGATAAGGAAAGCAAGGAACGACCTGCGGCTGCATCAGTTCTTGAGTCCGCGCCCATTGGACCGCTTTTCATGTCTTCGGACCGCGCGGGAAGGACTGTGGGGCCGGAATCACCAAAGTCGCACTTCTCCCACTGCAGTTTAGGCCAACAGCCAGTGGCCATCAGCTTATCCCAATCCTCAGCTTCAGGATACCCATTGTAACTAAAGTCAAGCACTTCCAGCTCGCTACATGCGCACAAGCTCTGTAGCAAGGCTTCAGCCCCTGCTTGACTACCATCTCCTTGGAAACAATAACTGAAATTGGCGATTCTGAGCTTGGGCCAATGGACTCCCTCTTGTAGATACTCCCATGCATCAGTCTCGCCACACCCCAGGAACACGATTTCCTCCAGTTCCTTGCAGCGACAGACCATGCCCAAAGCTTCGGCGCTGACTTTCTGCCATTCAAAGCAAACCACTTTGAGAGGCCAACAAAGGCTTTCCCACTCCCTTGGCTTTGCTATCCAAGAGCCAATAGAAAGTGAAAGTATTCTCCAGGTGTGGGTTTCGGGAAAACATATAAACTATAAACATAACTAAACAATCACCTTAAGCAAAACCAGGCTTCCAATCTGGGGCTTCATCAACTGCAAAGACGTCACACTCCGAGAAATCAGCGTGCACCACGTTGAGGCGTAGCAACTGAGCCCAATGCTGATTCAGCTTCGACTCGATCTCTTTCATGCAGGAGGCACCTACGCAAAGTGGTGTTTGTACCTTTGCTAGCTTTGACAGGATATCCGGATCGGCAAGTGCTTTCAGGTCCAGCCATAGTTCTTCCGCTGCGGCGAGGACGGAAATGGGAACTTGTGGAAGATTTAGTGCCGTGGCGAGCAGTGTACATGTCAAGGGCTGACCGTTTGCTGCTTGTTCAAAGAGAGGATGCTTCTGATGTCCACCGAGATTCGCAAGTATGCATAGGCCGAAACTGGTGAAAAGGCTGCTTGACAGTGAAGTCACGATCAACACCCACGGTACCTCTTTGGCCTCTGCCAACCAATGGTCGGTATGCGCCAGACCTTGTAGGCCAACTGCTGCCAGCTGTAGCAACCAGTGCATACTCAGCGAAAAGCGCAAAGGAAGTCGCGATCGGCTCCCGAGCAAGACCTGACCAGGATGTCCAATCACAGCTGCCAACATGTCAGACTTCTCTGCCTCGGGAAATAGGAAGAAAGCCAACACTACAAGCATGACAACAGCCACTGGTCCTCCAAAGGCTACCCAAGTCCTAGTTGCCAGGTGCAACATGTTAAAGGCCATCAACCTGCTGGCAACTTCCATGGCTCTCACGAGAAATAGGGCTGTGAAGGAGGGCCCCCAGTTCAACTTACCAGGAACATTGAGCACCTTTGCGTCAATCTTGTCTCTGCTCGCAAATCCAAAAGCTAGCGAGGCACAGGACATGATCACCGAAAGGCTCAAACCTTGGAAGGCTTCGGGCGACACAGATTCCATGCCCACCAGGATCAGAAACCAATAGTTGCTTTGCAAGCCGGCCGAAACAATCGCTTCCACCACTTCAGCTTGCTTCGCACCCAGCAACAAGTCATGCTTCGTGCGCATCAAGGCTGATGCAAATGTCAGTAGCAGCATGTGGCTTTGAGCCAGCACCAGAACAACCACCAGAATGATCCTTGCAGTCTTTGATGGGACGATCCGCCTAAAGATATCGCACTGGGGGCTCACGAATTTGCTCTCGCTCCAGTTCAACGCATCGATCATAAGACTGATCATTGGAATCGCCATTCCCAAACAGTTCAATCCGAAATACTCGTATCGCTCCTCGGCAAGGAACAGCACCAGTTGCTGAATATCCGTGGCAACATCCAAGTAATACAGGCCACAAGTTAGAACAAACAGGTCCAACCAGAACATGGGAGTTTGCCCCATGGCACATTCAGCGCTGTTCCAAGCTTGGAATATGAGGCCCGTTAGGTGGTGGCGCTCATGCCCTCTGAAGGCGCGCAAAGCGCGGACTTCCGCTGCAGGTGTTTCCTTGCTTTGCAGGAGGATCTCATGTCCAGGAAAGGGATAATCCAAAGGAAACATTTCTCGACAGAGCGGCTCGGATCGAATGCCTTCTTCATTTTGGAGAATGACCTTCATGTTATGGTAGAGAATTCTTCCTGTCTGCAACTGCACCTCATTCATGGTGAAACCGACCACCTTCTCATTGCTCTCCAGACTCAAAGTGCTGCATGCAATCATCCCGTTTGGCGCACCTTCCAGGTCCTGTATGGTGCAAAGCTTTAGCTTCTGTACTTCAGAATCCTCCACAAGCCGAAGGTCAAGTTCCAGCAGTAGATGCACCTTGGCCTTCTCCCAATCGTTCTCCGTCTCGTAGTAACCGTGACCCCCCTGGCGCACGTTCGAAGCTACAAAAATGGCTCGGATGAAGCGGCCGGACAAATCCGGCCGCAGCGCCTCTGGCAGCTGCGTGGCACGTTGGGCCCGCTGCATTTCCATGCTTCACAATGTTCTGTGAGCTTCCCTGAGATCTCCTAAGAGAGGCAGCAAAATGATCCTGCCTGGTGCACCCTTGCCAGGCTTACTGTAAACTGTAAACAATATCTTGGACAGCATGGTTCTTCACCAAAAAAAGGGTGATATGATGAAATCATCATTTTTGAACGCGTGAGAGCTAAAGCTGCTAAGTGTGTGTGTGTGTGTATGAAGTGTGCGCTTGTGTGTGTGTGTGTGAGAGAGATTCACTCGGATGAGCTTCACTCGGATGATCCACTGAGCCAACAGGAAAGGATCGAACCGAGGATCGCATCGAGGTCCCAAACGGGGCCCAAAACGAGGATCGGCGAGTCTTCGTGCAGGGAATCCTTCAAGAATCCAATAAATATGGTCAAGATAGCGAAAATCGTTGAGAATCTGGTGAAGGTCCAATGAATCCAATGAAATCTGGTGGAAGTCTGTTAAAACTCACAGCAGCAAAGCAGAAAGTGTATAGAGAGTGTTCCAAAGTACTGTACATCACCATTCCCTTCCAAAATGAGAAGCGTCCTCCACGCGGTCTCCCTCGCGGCGCCCAGCCAGAGCCGAGGGACGCTTCCAGCGTCACGGATCTCTAATATGGAACAGCAAGTACCGCTCGGTCGGTGGGGAGAGTCATCACCACCTCTTGATCTCACCATCGCCACAGCTCGGAGATGTTTCTGGAGATATCCGGAACATGCCTCCTAACCTTTAATGGCCGATGTGCTCTGTGTCCTCCCCATTTCAACTCTTTTGGGGATGAAGGACACTCTAGAGGTCAATACTCCCTGTGTTCGTCTCTATCTTGAGGTCAATACGAGCATGGAAGGAGGGGATTCTCAGACTCAGATACAACAAACACAGAAACTGCTACCACTAGAGGAAGCCAACACGGATGACACGAAGATGGATGACACGAACGTGGAGACATGAATTGTGTGTGTGTTCTCTTCAGCAATATGCACTGAGCATGATGTCAAGGTATGGCCATCCTCATCCTTCTCTAACTTATCCCAGGCGCCATCCATGCTTTCTGAAAGCCGACATGACGCTCTGCCCGCAGGATGCGCCATGCTTTTCACGCGGGTCTGAAAATAATCAGAGGTCTTGAGGAGCTACCCTGAGTTAATTGAAACCCTGGAACCCCAAAAAGCAAATAGACTCAGCCAGACACTTCGACGGCATGCGTCTGTCAAGTTTTCTTCACACATGTTTGTTGAAATTTGTGTCGTCAAACAAAGACGGTCTTGGATCCCATCGATGTGCTCGGGTTTTTTTTGCACCAATGCTTTTGGAGTTCCGATACAGAAACGGAGCTTGCAAGGCATCCCTCAACCAAATTTCTGGCCGCTGGAGCTGAGCCCGAAGAGCTTCTTCCACCTCGGGTCCCCGCTACCGGCGAAGGCGGCGAAGGCAGCGCTCCCGGGTCTCTCCCAGTTGCTTGGAGTGAAACGGGTTCCTGCTACTAAGCTCCTAGCACTCCTAATGGGTTCCTCCGTACTTGGTGGCTTAGCTCCTCTTGGAGTGAGCATCCAAAACGGATAGGGGAACTTAGACCAGCTACCTCAGCAATCAAAGGCTTTCTGACCAAGGAAACCTGTTGATTGGAGTGAAACCACGCATGAATCGGCGGTGATTTGCCGACGATTTCCTTGGCTTTCTCCATGAACTACATCTAGGCGCAAGAAAAGTTCACCGGATTCTGTGATCCTCTCGGAAGGTGGTTCTTTGTTTTGGCTGCTTGCGTCTCATGCCAAGGCGCTTGTTGCCATCGGGGAAGACGATGCCATTGCCCTCCCACTTGCACCACGTCCTGGAGAGCCGTCCAAACCGGTCATGTGACTGGAAGATGTGACGTTGCGGAAGGACCCCTGAAGTCAACCACTTCCGTGTAGGTCAATAGGTCAGTCCATGTCAGTCCCATGGATGGTCTGGGATAGAGCCAGAACAGACCTCAAGCGCACCCCCTTCCTGAGAAGGCTAGTCTTGTGGCACAAACTTCCACTAAAGGCTGTTGGTACGTCGATATCAATCTCCTAAGGTTTGACCGTGAAGCAACCGCAGGGGCTACAATTATACTTCTTCAGCATCTATCAGCATCTATCAGCCACATCCTCAGTATTTCTCCTCAACATAGACTCTAATCTGTTCGTTTTCCGCACCGCACCTCCACCGCACCAAGAACCCAACCCGTCACATGCGCTCACACGCCCGGTTCCGGGGTCCGGGGTCGGCCCCCCTTGGAGGAGAAGTCGATGGTGATGCTGTCGCTGCCCGGGCAAGGTCACCGCCTGGAAGTAGCTCGTCACCTCTCGCGGCCGCCCGCGGTCGTGACGGCGCGGGTTGGCGCGCGCGGGTCGGCGCAGGTGACGCCGCGCCTTGGTCTCGCAGCCGGGATCGCCGTCGCCGCCCTCCACCACGATGCCGCTTTTCTGGTGCCGGGTGTCTTTTGCTGAGGGTGAGCCACTGGGCAATGTGATGGCCACGGTCATTAGGTCAGGGAATGCAGTTCTGAAAGATTCTGGAAGCACGTTGGAAGTGTTTGGGTGAATCCGGCAGGCCAATCTGTTGGGTGTGTTGAGGTCGATCAAAAGGACAGGAGTCTGGATGCATCTACTCACAGGAATCGCGAAGAGCCGGCTCCGCTGGAAGGCTAAACGCAGAAAACATCCCAAGAATTGGTGGGAAACAACCTCAAGGAACAATTTTGCTGATGCGTACAGTAGTCTCATTGCAGTTGACCCCCTTCAAATGCACCCCGAATCCCGCCAATCCCCTAATTACTTCCAAGCAACAAAAAAAGAGGGAAAGCACAGGTTCCGAACCCCCTACTCCCACTTCCTGGGGGGGGCCCAACCCTCAGGGCCCCCCCAAAATTCTCAGCGCCTAAGGGTTCAGATTTGAGGTCCCCTGTCCTCTCTGGCATCATACTCGATCTTTCGAGGGCACAGGGGGTGCTGCGGGTCCTGGCCAGTCGCTGGTCATCGCCGTGACCGCATGGCGGGGTCGTGTCCGTCAGGTACAGCAGCGAGAAAAAGGGGAAAGGGCATCAAGCAGGAAGTGGGTATTCTCCGGTGGGTGCTTGTAAAAGGCTCTGGGCATGATATAGATTGAAAATGATTGAACTCTTATTATAGTATCTGCATCTGCACTAAGGCAAAAAGGACTACTGATTCCATGCATGAGTCAATGTTGCCCCACCTCGCAACACCCAAACTCCTTGTGGTCAAAATAGCCACAGTGCCAGTTTTGACCAACTGGGTTTCACACGGTTTCACCAGCACTGCTGAACCCACACAGCTGCACAGCTGATTGGCAGTCCTTGTAATATCCCAGCCAATCGGCTGGGCTTTCGCCAAACGCCTTGGCCTCCGGTGCTCCCGTGCCGGCAATAGCCAGCAAACCGCCTGCGGCGAGCACTGGTGCCTGGAGGAAACAAGACCGGAGCCTGGTTTTTTGGGTGGCTTGGCAAACGCATTTGTTTGGGTGATGTAAATGGAAAAATGGAGGGTGACATTTCTCGGAAGACTCCCTTGGATCTAACTGCTGGTGACTTTGGGGCATGGCTTGCTCGGTCCGGAGTTGCAACCAGGATGGACTGCCAGAAGGCATCGGAAAAACAAATGCCAAAGGTCTTCAGACGTTCAGAACACCAATCAACAATCACTTCATCAGGTTTGATGTTGAGCATCTGTGTGGCCTTCCAAACATCATGTTTCAAATAAGCAATCTCAAACAGTCCGAAATTGTCTGTCTATCTTGAGGGTTCCATTTGTTTGTCTATCAGACTAGGAGAGCCAGTACTTGAGGGTTCCATGATCCGATTTGAATCCATGATCTCATGGGGATCGTTGTGGCAACCCTTCTCGCCTTCGCCGAGGAAAGGCACCTCGGGTGTCTCCGGAACGTGAGGAAAACACTCAGGTGACCTGAGGGTTGTGAGGGTGCATCGCTTAGGCCCTGGATCGACAAATCATGACAAATGCTTGATGGATATTAGGCCACCGGAGTTGGCCATGAGTGAAACCTAACAGGCGTAAAGGTGGGCTGGGTCAAAATGGCATGGATGAACAAAGCGCTCTCTTCGCTGGGGCGGCATTCTGGAGAGGAACATAGGTCCATCATGGTAAATCCATGCAAGACAAACGCACAAGAGCTTGACACCTTGACGCATCCTTCATGAAGGCATTACTCCTCAGAGCTTCTGAGCTTCTCTTCTCATCTGCATCCGAGGGTCGAAGCAATCTCCCACCCACCCCGTGGCCACTAAGGTGGCATGGCCCCTCGCGGCTGCGCATGATCCTCACCGAGGTGGGCTGCGGCTGGCAGACGTGACTGGCCCTTGGGATGAAGCATGCGGAATGTGAAGGTGAAGCACTGGCCCTTGGGAAGAGCTTTGACCCCAAAGATTAAAAGTGGCCCGTTCCTGCCACTATACTATGACTATGTAAGTTATAGCATATAGACGTACTATATCTGCTCTTGCAAAAAGAGAGCGACACAGAAAACTCTGCTTATTCTTCCTCTCTCTACCACAGCATGCAGCATGTTTGTCGAGAGTGCTTCACTTGTTTTGCGCAGGGTCGCCTACATCCCGTGTTCTTTCAGACCAAGAAAACGAACATGTTGTTCCTCACCCTATGAGACGGTCGCCCATTCTCCCAAACCGCACTCCTTTCACCAAGAGCAACGTCCCTAAAAAACCGTGGCGAACCGTCTTCCAACTTCGGTGGTGAACGTGGCGAACGTCTCCCCCCCAAACACCCGTGGTCTGACTGCGTCGGCAGGGCGCTCGGAGCTCGGAGCTCGGGAGGCGCCGGGGCCGAAAATTCTGCAGTGCGGAGGGTGGAGACGGGAGCAGAGGACCGGAGGAACCAGTAAGGAAGGTTCAAAGTGAGGCAGAACAAAACTGAGATCTGAATCATATGTTCAACCTTGCGACAGCTACCGTGGTTGGTGCCAAATGGTAGATGATACCTGTATGAAATATCGTGAAATGGGATGAAATGGGTGCATTCATTTGATCAATTCATTCTTCTTCACTCATGAAAAGCACCGCTGTAGTGACGGAGATCCTTACTGACTATTCCGGATTGCCAAAAGGTCCCAGCACCGGTCATTCCATTCCCCGAGAGCAGGCATTATTTGCCTATAAAGTTCGAGATGCTGAATCCATCAATCATCCAAAACAAAACAATCGGAAATGCCCATATCCAGCGTTCAAAGGTATCCAGATTGCCGTTGCTCTCAATTTCCGGACCACACCAACCTCGACTTCTTGGGTGTCGCGAGGCCTCATGACTTTGACTGCAGCTCTCGCAGCAGAACTGCAGCGAACCTCGGAATGGAACTCTGGGACGGCCATGGGAGCGCCCCCGTGGTCGGAGTTTGTTTTGCGCGGACAGCAATGACGTCTTGATGGCCTTTCCATGCAGTTCCGAACATGTCCTATAGCTGTTTTTTTGTGACAGCGACAGTGAAGGTGTCTTCGTGTTCAATGGCAAGCGCCAAAGAACCACCCATGTCATATACCTTATAAGGAAGATGAAAGATGCGTAGCAGATTCTTTCTACTGTATCCAGTTTCCTCTTCCCACTTCCATCCGAAGCCCGGTCGTCCATCGTAGGGCGACGATGGTCTCGGCGAGGAGAAGAACGCAGGTCTCCGAAGTCGGGTCAAGCTGAAGACATACAGCACCACATGTTATTTTTTGCGAGACTCGATGTGCTTTCTATAGACTTTGATACGGCGTGACCCACAAATCATGGACTGATACAAGTCCCACTTCTAGGGGAAAGGCATCTCTAATTGTCAAACAATCCATGACTGAAGTCAAACTACAGTGAAATGGGGTCACCGGTTGCTCTGCAAATTCATGACCTTTCGTTCTGAGGACGACATGTCTTGCCACCGTGCAAAGACCGGTCACATTCGGCATTCTGCACCCTGATTCCATGAGCACCCCTTCAGTGGAATAGTTACACCCCAAAAACCAAGAAGCTCCCTCAATCCACCTTCAAAACATTCAGAATCACTGGTCAAGTCCAAGAATCACTAGGTGATACTGGGTGGACCCTTCATATTTTCAGAAATCCTGGTGAATTTCATCTCCCTTCGAACACCAGTTCTCTTTCGGTCCAAGGTCGTCCGTCTGATCCAGCGAGTCAAGCAGCTGCTGGATCTTCGCCTCGTCCTGACGCGCGCGACCGAACGTCCCCGTTGGATCGTTCGACGGCGTCGACTCCGCCAGAGTCGTCGACGTGGGCGAAGAGGAACGGAGGTCCACAGACTGACACCGGCAGAAGGACCCCAGAGAGCACCTATATATAGTCTATATAGCTCATAGCTAGCAGGAAGAAGAAGCCCTTGTTGGCCCGAAAGCCGCTCTATTTGGCGAAGGAGGAAATGGCTGGATCGAGATCGGTCGAACTGTGGGAGGAAATGGCGGAACCTTGGAGTCAGCTGGATGCCGAAAGGGAAGTTGCGTGGAGAGTTGGAAGTTGGGAACAGGTTTTAATGGCCTCTAAGGAATGATCGAAATACATCCAAAAGACTTCAACGAAAGCCCCTTCAAGTGCTTCTGACAGAGGGAACCCTGTCCTGGACTTCCAATGGATTTGGTCTTTGACCAAGCCCCCACCCGCCTCTTCAGCCGGCCATTCACCACAGTCATGGAAGGCCTCCTGCAGAAACCACAAGGAGGAGGGCAGAATTTTGATATGTGGGGCCACTGGATGAAAACATAGTATATAAGACCGACTCTACTTATCCGTCCAACAATAATGAAAGTGCTGTCCTGCAAGGGAGGGGTGAGTAGTTGCAGCAAGAGCTCGGTGCCTGCCGGCGCAAGCACATCTTGCAACACAAATGGACGTGAGATTCGCTTCGCTTCATGAGTTGATCCGCTTCAAACACCAACAACCTGGCTTCCAGCTCAAATGCCGCCAACTAAGGCCATACATCGCGCATGTCATGTCGTTCACGCGCAAGTCTGCGCGCGTACGCCGCGCACGCCCACGGAAGCACGCTGCCTCCAGCGGCGAGCTCCTCCGGGGTCAGCTGGCCCAAGACACTTGAGAGACTCTCCACCTGGGCATCACGGGCATGGCTTCCCCCAAACTCTATGTATCGTTTGGGAACCAAAAAATCCCCCAAAGTCTCCTATCCGGCTCTATAAGTCGGGTCGGGTGTTCGGTTTTTACCACGGTTTGCCAACAAAAATTGACCTCGCTTGTGGGAGGTTTTCTCCTGTTCGAGAGGTCTTGGTCGAGATGGAAAGGGCACTTGTGGAGGGGTGGTGGACCTTACAAGTGTTGTTCTTTGGGGTCATTTCTTGGGGTCAATGATGCTCTATTGGCTGTTCACTTACTTCAAAACACTCCCTCAGCTAATCAATCAACCGATAGCAAAATAGGCGATCTAAATCATTCTAAATCTATAGGTTGGGAGTCCAAATGTTCAGCATAGCTTCGCCAGCTGCATCCTAGTTGTGAGGATGGTCATCCAAGCTAAGAAAATGTTTGGTCTGTCCCCTGACAGATCATCTTTTGCTTGCGAATCGAATTTCAGCCTCACAGGGACCAGTCAGCCAGGGGCGAGAAAGGGTGTCTCTCCATTCAATTGCACACCCATATACGATCGCAAACCGAAGAAACTCAAGGACTATTGGCCAACTCCGGCCAATTCACGGTCATTCGTCACCAGGTGACCTGAACAATCACCATGTCTCTCGATTCAAATGCACACTCACCCTCCTCCCACAGGCTCACCCCCGCCGTCGGAGCACGTTTTCATCTTGCGCCTCGCTGCGCCTGATCAGGCTCCCGCACGCCCGGTAGCCGGTCGGGGGGGCCGATCATTGCTGGAGACGTCTTCGACGTTCCCAGTGAGGTGGATCCGGGGCAAAACCAGGTGGAAGCCTCATTCAGTTGGAGAATTGGTCTGATCTGGTCTGATTGCCTGACATGCCAACATGGTTTATTTAAGCTAAGGCCTGGCAGCTCCCCCATCCGAGATCTTCACAGCTCTTGCGCCAAGGTCTTCACCGCGCTGTAGGCACTGCCCGCCGGGAGCATCTCCTTCAGCCTCTGGATCTCCGCGTCCCGCTCCTGGCGACAACCGTCGTCGTCGCGGTCGTCAAAAGGCGGTTGCAGTGGGGGTTGCAGTCATCGCGAGCGACCGCGAGTGAAAGGATAGTAGAGAAGCCTACGAGGTTCAAGGTTCAAAAGCATGTGACGGTATTGCTTTATGACGAAGAAATGTCTGGTCCTGGATCCTACACTACTACTCTCTACGGACCTCGTCCATCAACAGTTGGTTCGCAGAACACCCCCCCGCACTGGCCACACGGCGATAGACACAAATCCTGCACATCTTCACTGGCTTCACCTTCAGTCAGTTGGCATCTGAAATACATGAAAGTTAAGCAATTTCTGGTTTTGGGCTGAACGTGATTTCTGGATTTGTGTAATTGGCGCCCTCTGCAGATTTCTGAATTTTTGGGTAGTTGATTCCTGGCGGCCTCCGCAGATTTGGAGTGCGCCATGTACTTTGACATTCGTATCGGATCCAGGGTTTGCTCAACAACATTATGCTCATGCTGGCTTCCATGATATGATACAACCCTGACTAAGTATCTCCTCCATCTATATCTAATCTAACTGGCTTGAATGTAACAAAACTTGTCCTCTTGCTGACTTCGTATCAACCTGCGCTGCCGCTGCGTATCTCCTCCATCTGTTCCGGGCTTCTATGACACAGGCTTAGTATATAAGTCTCTCCTCTCTTCGCTACGACTTGACCAGACTGATTCTCTCCAACTCCTGGAGCTGCAATCTGAGCATGGTGATCTCTTCCTCCTGGAGCTTTCCATGTTTGGGAGGTGCACTGCAGATATATTGGATACGATTCAGAGGATTCATGCTTTCCATGTTTGGGTGGCTCAAGTAGAGCTGCAGTGCAGGAAGCAGTGCAGTTGCAGAAGTTTCTCTTAGTGTCATGCACTCTTCAGCACTGAAGATAGCTCCCTTGCACCCTTGCAAGTCAGAAAGGATGTAAACGTCTCTTCTATTGGGAACTTCCCCTGCAGTGACACCAGTGGATCTGTGGATCTGTGTCATTGAAAGAAAACCAAACCACATGATACGTGCAACCAAGTTGGAGCATTTTTATCATACAGCAGGGCAAGACCAATCTCATGGGAAGAAATACTCAAAATATCTCAAAATGATATCTGCCTCTGTCCAACTCTCAGCACTACAGTAACATGCATGCACCACCCAAAATCGCCAGTACTGTGAAAAACTTAAGTCCTGACATCCTTGGAGGAAGATTTGCTTTCCACATATCCTTTCTTCTGAAATTCCGCCTTCCCAAAGATTCTACCTTTTCTTCAGTTCCAAGAGAAGCAATCCACGTTGAACGCCGCTGACCTGGACAAAGCATGTTTGTTTTTGGGCATTCTCATGTTGACGGCCGCTCCTTGGACATGCAGCCCATGCAGGTCGAGGCCGCAACCCCTTCCTGCACGCCTTTCTCAAAGATCACCTGACCCGCGAAGAGGGCGGGCGCACGGCACTGGGCGGAGTTGGGCGGTTGGGCGTCGAGGCAGTTGGCTGATCAGTACTGAAGGGAACCTGCTTGCGGCTGCAAGCTTACATCTCCTTCGTCAAGGGATCGAAGCTCAAGATACAAGAACAGGAAATCCAAGGAGATCCTCAAGAGATCCCAGTTGTGTTTTCAATAAGGCTACTTGATTGTACCTCACCGAGTTGGAGGAACAAAGCTCAGACAGACCAGCTTGGTCTCCCCCAGTTTCGTGGGGATTAAGCTTCCATGACCTCATGCTCCATGAGTTTCCCCGCATTGATCCAATCCCTTCAAAGCCTCCAAGGCCTCCAAGGCCTTCTGATCCCCTCAGGGCCCACATCACCGGACCAACCGCAGACCAGTCATCCAAGCATCACCAGATCAGTCGGCCCAAAGGGTCCAAGGGGGTCTGCGCCTCGAACTGCTTCTTGAACCAGCCCACCAGATGACTCTTCACCACCTGCCGGACGGTCTCGCGGTCGGAAGCGGTCCTCGCGGTCTCGCTGGTTGAGGAAACCAGCAGGTCTGGTCTTTTCCCAACAAAATCCGGTTCTTGGAAGCCTGGTGTTTCTGTCTTCTGGGGTGTGTTGAAGACAGATTCTCTTTTGGGGGCGGGTCCAGCAACCCTCACCTCTCGGTTCTTGTTCACATCCAGCAACCCTCGCTGGGCGAGGGTGTTCCCGGAGTCAATCTCGTCCGTCCGTCCAGACTTCTGGGTGGGTTTTTTTCAGGAGCATCTCGGGTCTATCCCATTCCCTGGGTCCAGTGGATGATGATGGTTCAGTTGCAGGCCTTGTTCAAACATAGTTATAATGTGTAATCATTGTGTTCACCGACTGTTACAGGTGAGAACGGACCCACCCGACTGTCTATACGACACACCTTCAGAAATCATCCGTGGTTACGTGGAGTGCGTTCACCACCTGCGACTGGTCTTCGGATGTGAGTCACGGTCACCCCAAGTCGGTCGTCGTGTTTGGTGGCCATGCCAGGCCCACGACGCCCAGGGGGATCTTTTGGGGTAAAAAAAAAGTGTAAGAAAATGATCTGCCGGATCCACAGGCAACACAGGCGGTCTCCGGGCATTTGCAATGCTGATCAGCTCTTGGTCTTTCGCATTTGCCACAGTCTCCGGTCTGGGACGACCCTTCAGTCTCCGACGACACGACGTCGCTTCGCTCCACCGAGCGGCGGTGTTCACCTCTTCGAAGGAAGAAGTCCTTGGACATGCATGCGTCGTCGTGGGAACGCGCCAGTGTCTTATATCTGGGACATTCATTGCAAGTATCTGGTTTACAACTAGCTTATTGCAATGCATCTTCCTGGTAATCTTGAGGTGCTGAAAGCAGTTGGTGGATGTTATTGTACCTGTGGGACTTGGGCAGTGCATCTTCCTAACAGCATGGAACAGATACTTTCTTTGCTGGTTCTTTGCTGGTTCTGCCTGGATGTCTGTCTGACCAGCTCCAACCAAACGCTTTACCTCAGGGGTTTTCCAAGCCCCGGCACCAGCCACATTGAGCGAGAGTGACATCGGAATCATGGCCGATCTGCGTTGGGTTTCGGAGAAGCCCGAGCCATGGCCATTCATCTGGAAGTGGGGCATATGGCACCCGGGGGACCCTGGTTTTTCCCAGAGAACATGAGTTCAGAGTAGACGAAAAGGCCAACCTGCTAGGTGTAAAACGGGCTCCGGCTTTTGACCTGCGATGTCCATATCTGCATCACCTGCGATGTCCATGACCTCCCACCATCTCCATCACATGCACTCCCCAGCGATCAACTCTCACTCAAAATAGGATGCCGTCCAAAGCCACAGGCTGAAAGGAAAAAAGTCATCTGCCACCTTCGGGTTCTATATAGCTTTCATTACAATCATCCTATTTTTACAGAACTCTTAGCGAATTCACAGAACTCTTTCCGACCCGGGTGGCATAGACCCCTCTTGGGTCATATAAAAACCTCTTCACACCATCCAAGGGACCGTGTGATGAGGCCCTTCACCTTCTCCTCATCTACCGCGTGGCTCGCCTTGGCCTGTGCCACGTCGATGCCTCGGTCGGAGCATAGCCCACAACGGCGGTCGCCACGGGACATGACTGGTTTTTCCACCCCAAAAGAACCTACTTTTCCACTGGAGTTACAGTAGTACCCGCTCCTTTTGGGGAGTAGTAGTAACTGGACAGTAGTAGTACTTGCTGTTCTTCGGGTACTGTGAAACATCTATTGGCTACTTGGTTCAATCATATTTTGCAGTGAATCTGTTGGTGGTTGGATCTGCTATACATTGTGTTCCCCCCAACCAACATCAACATGACGCCGACAATTGCCACCAAAATGCCGTAATTATATACCCAGGTTTGAGCAAGTCTCACCTTCCAACCACTCAGGTTTGGGGATCTCCATTCCTGACAAATCTCTGTCCAACTGGCAACTGTGGCCGAACTTTCCCCTTGTTGGATCTCAGATGGGCTGTCCCCAATATACCCAAAAATATCTGT